TATTCTGTTATCTTATGTACATAGTTCATGTATAGTAGTCATGTTTTGAATTTCCGCGGACGAAAATTTTGTAAGGAGGGAGGATTGTAATATCCCGAGATATTATCAGTATAAATTACGTTTAATTCCGATATAGTAACGTTATCGTTTATTATTTTCGGAATTAATTAAGTTCAGTCGGACTACCGAAATTTATTTTCGGTGTACCGTTTACGTCCGAAATAATTTTGGTAATTAAGTATTATGTTTAATTTAACAATTAAACATAAGACAAGTGATTAATTAACATTAATCACACAACTTAGCCATCAAACCCTAAATAGCCGTGTAATGAAAATAATTTTTTCCAATTTTATTACTAAGTCCGTAAGCTTTCCTTAAGGTGGAGGAAAGATATATTAGCCAATGAAAGTGAGTAACTTGTCAAGTGATTAGTAAGCTTAGTCATCAAGAGGTTAAGGAGCATCAAGCAAGTGTTGATCATGTGTTAAGCCACATATCATCACCATCATCACACCTCCACGGCCGAGAGTCTATATAAGCATGCCTTTGGAGAAATTTTGCTCACTTTTTCCCTTATAAGCTTCAGCAGAATACTTCCCCATAGATCAACTCTTTCAGCAGCAAATAAATTCCCAAACGCACGGCCAAATCAAGCCAATCGCAAGGCATAGGCTAGTACCGCACGGCGAGGAGAAGCGGCGCTTTAATTCTGATTTCCGTCGAGCGTTCCGAAAGGTATTACTCTGTTCAGTTCATAATCTTAGTAATAAGTCCAATTCAGAGTGATTTGTTCGAAGATCTTTCAGAAATTAGTAAAGGAATTCATGATAAGCTCGGTTGTCGGCGTATACGGTTTATACGAGTTAAGTTTATATTTTTCCGGCAAGTCCCGAGCATTTATTAGTTGTTCAGCCTCTAATTAATGTATATTGTGCAATAGAGTGTAGTTGGCCGATTAAAAATCGAGGATTGCCGGTGAATTGGCCAAAGCTGTAGCTAGTGCCGATCGCACGCGGCTACGGACGGCCATGAGGCATGAGTTCGTAAACTGAGCATGAGCCATGAGCATTTAGTGTTTATTTAGCCTTAATTCAGTAAATCATGTTCAGTCATTTGAGTGTTGTCGGGTAAAAGTGAAGTTTTGCCGATGAAA